GTGGTCCGCACCGAGGGCAGGGCGCTTCTGCCTTTCTTCGTACTGGCCCTGCCGGCAATGCCTGGCACGTAGTGGGGGCTTCACAAATGTTTACTGACTGACTGCGCGAAGCCTGCGGACACAGAGGCCAAGGAGACACGCTAATGGGGAGGGGGCCACCCCTGGGGGCCCCAGAGGGAAGTCCCGATGCGGGACGCGTCCTCCCCGACAGCGAGCGATGGCTGAGGCACCCTGCACGTGCCGGGGTGGCAGAGGATGCACGGTGGGGAGGGGGCTGGTGCAGGGGGCCAGCGGTGGCGGCAACAGCGCTGCTCCGGAGAGCGGAGGTCCTGGGTTCGAATCCCAGCTTCTTTCTCCCTGGGCTTCCCTTCCCTCCCCCGGTAAAATGAGGAGCTCGGACCAGATGACCGGCGCGAGTGAGGACGCGAGGCCGGAGGTGGCCACGGAAACAGCGACTAGCCGGGGGGGGGAGGGGGAGCCGGGGGGAGGGGGGCCAGGAGAGGCCCCGCCCCCGCAGCCTTCCACCGCCCCTACGAGAGGAGACGGAGCTGTGGAGGGGAGGGCGGGGAGAGCAACCGGCTCTGGACACGTGACTTCCCGACCCGCCGGAGGGGGGCGGAGCAACGGAGGCTGGGCCTTCGATTGGCTGGGCGCATGAGCCCCGCCCTCATTCCGGCGTGCGCCTGAGCGTGCTTGCCTAGACGCCATTGGAGAGCCTGGCGCTGGTGAGCACGAGGTGGAAGGTCCGAGCAGAGAGGGCAGCAGGGAGCTGCGAGCCGCGTGTGGGTGCGAGAGCTCAAGGATGGCACGGCCATGGGCGCGAAGGGGCTGCGCATGCGCAGATGGGCAGGGGCTTGTGTGCCGAGACTGAGCGTGCGCGGGGCCGGCCCTGAGCCACGGCCCGGCGTGACCTGTGTGCGCACGCGCAGCGAAATAACCCTCGTGTGTAAGGGCTGAACGTCGCAGCCGAACCGTCTGGGAGCGTGTGGAGCTGGCTTTAGCCCGGGTGGGAGCGTGACTGAGCATGCGCAGCGTCCGAGCCTCCGGCAGGAGGCGGGGCCTGTGGCGGGCGTCTGCTGCCTTGGTGACACGAGCATTGGGGGGGGGGGGGGGGGGGGGGGGGGGTAGGTGCCGTCAATATCCCCATTTTACAGCTGGGGAAACTGAGGCAGGCCGCGGCGCTGTGACTTCCCCAGAGTCCCCCGCGTGGTAAGTGTGTAGCAGGAACCGAGCTGAGGTCCAGCGGTCCGAGCTGTGTGCCGAGTGCGGGGACTTCAGCGAAGGGATGTGCGATCAGAGCCGGCACCCATACGGCGATCCCCGCAGGCCGGGCCCCGCGCTGGGCACTCCGAGCCAGGAGGAGGTGGGGTCCGAGGGGGGCGGACCGCGGGGAGCAGAGTGAGGTGCAGAGGCGCAGGGTGTGGGAGGGGCCCTGATGCGAGGACGGCCATCCAGGCAAGGTGTGGCTGGTACCTGTGCACCTGGGCGCTGCTGCGCGATCTCCGCGAATCCGAGCCTGGGTGCACCGCATTCTGGGGGTCTGCATCTTTGTAGGGGACCCCGCTGGCTCCAGGACGCGCGTGGAGCCTCGTCCTGGGATGTGAAAATTGAGAGTCGTGATTCTTAGGCGTCGTCAGTAGGCATTAAGGAATCGTGGAGGAAAAAGGGAAGAAAATGGAGTGTGTAAATAGGATAATGGGCTTGACGCCAATTCTGAGCAGAATTCTAAAATTTGATTAGGGAAGTCCAGCCCAAGCCATTGAGCTGGAGGTAGAATTTCAGAGGGCTTATGACCATTAATTATCCTTGTCTTTGATAGGGATGGGGGGGGGCTTTTCTTTTGTTTCCTAGACCCCTCTTGTTTTTAAATTTTAAAAAAAGTGCAAGAGGAATTTCTAGACCATCAGTTGGAGGCGTTCTCTGATACTCCTCATGGTTCCTTTCTCCTCCTTAGCTTTACTTTCTGAGGGCATTGTTCTTCCTCACCAATGGACCAGAAAAAAAGGAATAATAACTTCTGGGTGTCTGACTGCTAGGTCCACAACGAGTTGAAGTTTCCTTTCGTTCTTGACATGCTGTGTTAGTTCCTAGAGTCCATAGAGGTCCCTTTCTCCTCCTGGAATTTGTCTTTTCAGTACTGAACCTGACGGTTTCCCACAGCAGAGCCTGAGGCCAGCCTGGTGTGTATAAGACCATTGCTTAGAGTAGATGGAGAGGTGATAAATGGCTACAGAGAGAAGGCAGAACTGATAACGTCTTATATCGTTTCTTGTTTCTCTGCAAAGGAGAGAACAGCTCTTTCACTGGAAATGAAAGGACAAAAATGAATAACATTTTAGATAGGTAGAGAGGTCGAAAGAGACTGCCTAGCTGACACTGATGAATTAAAGTCACTATGTCCTGCTGAAATTCAACCTGAGATCCTGAACGAATGGGCAGATACAATTACCACGTCGCTGTCAGTGAGGGTCCCATTGTCCTCTGCCCTCCTCAGAACTCATTTAGGACATCATCATTCTGTTCATCCCAAGCACCGTGATTTAAGATAGGTTGGAGAAGGTCCCAGGGAGACAGCCAGGATAGAGAAGGGCCTGGAGTCCTTGTCGTAGGAGGCTGAGTTGAAGGAACTAGGCATGTTTTGTCTCAGGAAGAGAAGACTTGGGAAACAGAATAGAAAACTGTCTTCAAGATATGAAGGGAAGTCATGAGGAAGAAGAGTTGGATTTTTCTGTTTGGCCCTAGAGGACAGAAGGAATTCCAGTGTGTGGCTTGACAGGTCAAATTAAACTTCCTCTCAGAAAAAGCTCCCTAATTGGAACTTTCTAAACAGAATTGAACTGCGGCTGTCTAGACGTGGTGGGTGCCTCTTCCTTTGGGAGTCTTTAAGAGATACAGGAATACCGCAGCTGTGTCGCCATTAGTGCAAATCAGGAATCCCGTGAAGTAGTGGCATTATTCAGATTCACACTACATATGCGTAAAATATGGTCATTGAATCCAGCTCAACGGAAATGTACAATGGAAATTTTTAAAAATAAGTTTTTATTTGTTTATTAGCGCCCCTTCCCTTCGGCTTCCTGGCTTCCACGGCGAGGAAGGTCTCGTGCAGTACTTGAGGATGAAAGCCTTCCTTATCTGCACACTAGCTATGTCTTAGACAGTCCCTTCTTCATACACTGCATGATCTTAATGAAGAAGATGGCGGTGATCACTTCTCCCAAGTGTGAGTTGAAAAGGCCCTGGGTAACCTCGTTTTCTCATTCATCCAAACCAAGTTCTCCTTCAGTGTCGTTGGTACTTCTAGAATCTGCTTTGGAGAGGGAACACCTTCCAATGACGGCCCATCAGGCAGAATGCGCTCCCGCACGCTCACACTGGGCTCGCAGTTAGTTGTGGCCAACCCTTTTGAATGTTTTCAGTTGTACCTTTGGTGTTCACCGTTTTTCCAACAATCCAGTAAGGATGTTACATCATTACCTGTAGAAAAGGCTTTCTTGTTAGTAGGCCTTAACTCTTGCAATGGTTCTTTGGTCCATGGGCTGAAATAAAGATGTTTTGTTCGGTGGTCAGAAAAATACTTTTTGTGTTCTCGTGCCACGAACAAACTAGGACATCATCTAAATCGATAATGTGTTGAATTCATTATTAATTGTTCTTGCAATGTTTTTCACCTGCTGGGCTAAAATAACCTGAAAACCAGTCTTTGAAAAGCGCTTTAGTCACCCAGGGTTTCTTATTGTAATCACCAAAGAACTGCTACAGTTTTGCTTTTTTCTCTTATTTTGCCAGTAGGCTTTATGATATTACACACCCCGCATGCCAGCATTCTCACGTCTCTACTTCTAAATAAGATAAAGAGTGTCTGTCTCATACCAAAAGCTCACATGAGATGAAACAGAGAAACACTAGAACCACTCCCAATAAATGTTCCCTTTTCCCCTGGTTATGGGGTGATCTCGTCTGCTGCCATCGATTCAATTGTCATCTCTGTACAGATCATTCTCAGATCAGTTGCCCAGACCTAACCCCTCTCCAGACTTCCAGTCTTGCATTGCATACATCTTACTTTAAGACGTCTCAAATGAATGTCCAACAGATATCTTAAACTCACCACCTCCAAAACTAAGTTTGTTATCTTTTCTCCCAGCCCTGCCCTCCCCCATCTTCCCTGTTTCTGTGGAGGGTATCACCATCCTCCCAGGCTCCCAGGCTCACAACCGAGAAGTCCTCCTGGACTCCTCCCCATCTCTCGCCCTCCACATCCAATCCATTGCCAAGGCCTGTTGAATTTACCCTTGCACCATCTATCCAATATGTTCCCTTCTCTGATGGTGCCAGCTTCCCCTAGGTTCAGGCCTCATCGCCTCATGCCTGGACTATTGTAACAGCCTGCTGGTAGGTCTGCCTGCCTGAAGTCCCTCCCCATTCCAGTCCATCCTCCGCTCAGGGGTCAACGTGATTTTCCTGCAGCACAGGTTTTATTCAGTAAACTCCAGTGGCTTCCTGTCACCTGCAGGATCAAATGCAAAATCCTTCAAGGATCTTAATGACCAAGCCCCCTCCTGCCTTTCCAGTCTTACACCTGGTGGTGGTGGTTGTCCTTTGTTCTTGAAGAGGGCCAAAATGACGTCACTATGCCGGAGTCAAGTTACAGCGTGGCTAGCTGTGGCTGACCAAATCAATACGAGCTTGGAAGGCTCTACCACAGGTCAGGCACAAATAGTCCCTGTGAACAATTGGGGTGGATTCTCCCAATCTGCATATCTCGCATTTCTCTTGAGCTACTGCAATTCTGCTTTGTTCATAGAGCACAGCGCCTTCTCTGATGAGGGCACGCCATGCTGTGCGGTCCTGTGCCAGTGTCTCCCACGTCACACAATCAGTTCCAAAGTTCTTAAGAGAGACCTTGAGAGTGTCCTTGTATCGTTTCTTCTGACCACCATGTGACCGCTTGCCCTGTGTAAGATCTCCATGAAATAGTCTTTGTGGTGTGCAAACGTTTTACATTCAGACAACGTGGCCAGCCTATCAGTGTTGCACTCTGTTCAGTAGAGTTTGAGTGCTTGGCAGTTCGGCTCAAGAAAGGACCTCAGTGTCTGGTATCTCATCCTGCCAGGTGATCTTCAGAATCTTCCCGAGACAGTTCAAAAGGAAGCCATTCAGTTTCCTGGCATGGAGCTTCGTATACTGTCCGGGTTTCACAGGCATAAAACAATGAGGTCAGCACAACGGCTCTGTAGACCTTCAGACCAGCAGTCAGTCTCATACCTCTTCTCTCCCACACTTTCCTTCGGAGCCTCCCCAACACTGAGCTGGCTCTGGCGATGTGTGTGTATCAACCTCGTTATCATTGTGTACATCTCTGGAAAGTACACTGCCAAGGTAAGTGAACTTACCCATAGCATTCAAAACTTCTCCATTTACTGTAACTGATAGTTCCACATATGGATGGTGTGGTATAGATGGTACACGTTACGCCCCCCATGAGCTCTGTGGTCTAGTGAACTCTGGTCTTGCCATCCCTAGAACAAGATACTCCATTTCCCTGTGCCCTGCATTTTCCCTGGGTGTCTGCAGCACCTGGAATTAGGGAAGAATCATGGCATACTGATGATATTCCATTATATTAATGTACCGTAATTTGTTTAGCCAGCCTCTGATATATAGGCAAAAAGAATGACTCTAAATACACCAAAATGTCTTATTGCAGCACTTTTTGTGGGTGGAAAGAGGTGGAAATACAGTAGATGCCCATTGATAGGGGATCACTTCTTAATCCAGTAGAGATGGGAAGGATTAAAAAGACAGTAATAGACACTTTCGATTACTTGAAAATGAGAAGATTCTGCTGGAACAAATTAATGCAACTAAAAAGGGAGTCTTCACTAAATATCCCGGGTAAGGGTATTATTTCCAAAATAGGCAACTAAGCAGCCATTCCTCAGTAATTAAGTGATCAAAGGAAATCAGTTAACAATACTTAAAAGAAGAGCAAGCTAGTAACAACTATGAAAAGACTTTTTTCAGGCCTCTGATAATAAGAGAAATGCAAATCAACACCATCCAGAGGTTTCAATTCAAACCTAGCAAATTGGCAGAGACCACAGGTGGCAGTGGAGGAGATGTAGCATTCTGGAGACACATGCGGTGATGGTGGAGCTGGAAATGGGCTCATCCTTTCTGGGAAAGCAATTTGGAATTCTGCTAAGAGTGACTCAAATGTCTGTGCTTTTTGACTTAGCCACACTATTTATAGTAGCAAAGAGCTGGAAACCAAGTAGATACAAAGATGGGGGGGAAAATGAATGTTCCAGAGCCTGGGAAAATACAGGAACATATAACAATTAGATTACAAATGGATTATGTTAACAGATCTGCAGAATCAAAATTTATTGGAACAATTTCAAGTGAAGTTGGTAGATATAAATCAACATGAATCATCGCCATTCTGTTTATTTTGAACAAAATGCAACAGGAAGAGAAAAAGAAAGTCCAAAATAAGTAGAGAATGTATGAAATACTTGGACATCTGGTTTACCAAGATACAGAAGCTATGTGAATGACAATAGCATATATGCAGCAGTTTACATATGTCAAGTCATTCAATTTTACCACAACCCTATGAGGTTGGTGCTTTATCACCCCATTTTACAGATGAGAAAATGAAGGCATGGAGAGATTATGTGTCTTGCCCAGGATCATGCAACTAATAAGTTTATGAATCATAATTTGAACTCACGTTTTCTTGATTCTCAACTCCTGCACTCTTGTCTTTTGATTCACTTAGCTACCTAATTATATATTGTTTTATGTTTTAAATGTATGTGACTATAAGTACAAAACATTCCTCATATGAGCAAATATTGATGGCAACTTTTTGTTGTGGCAAAGAACTGGAAACTGAGGGAGTACTTGCCTATTGGGGATTGGCTGGACAAATTATTGTATGTGAATGTAATGGAATCTTATGAATGAGGAAAGGGAAATCAGAAAATTCCGAAAACTTTTATGAACTGATGCAGAGTGACAGCAGCAGAACCATGAGGAAAATTTATGCAATAATGTTATTTAAAAAATAACTCAGAAAGACTTAAGAACTCAGATTATTCATTGACCAACCATGATACCACAGGACTGATGATGAAACCTACTGCCTTCCTCTTGACAAAGAAGTTATGGAGTCAAGATGCTGCATGATACACATGTTTTTTAGAAACAATCAATGTGGGAATTTGTTATGAGAGTTTCATTCGTCGTCCCCCCCTGCCCTCATGGATGGAAAGAGGTAAGAAAGAAAGTAGATTTTTTTCATTGAAAAATTTTTCAATTAAAAAATAGGTATACTAATGTACTGTTGGGTGAGTCCAACAGTATGTTGGGACTGTGGATTATTAGTCCGACCATTTTGTAAAGCAAGTCAGAATTATGCTAAGTGATTCAAAGTCCTGTCCCTTTAGATGTGGAAATCCCACTGCTAAGCATATATCCTGAAGAGGTAGTAGTGGAAGAGTTATGGAACTTGGGACATACAGATACGTTGATAGTGGAGCCTTAAACTGGTCGATGCACCAGAATGTTGTTCTAGCTTTTTGTAGCTGCAAAAAACCAGACGCTCTGTGTCCTTAAAAGACGGTCAGTATATTCTTTGTCCTCCTCCATCCGTTTCTTCAGAATTGCTCCCATTTCCCCTCAGCATTGGAATTGCTTCCCTTTGTGTCCCCAGAATTTCTTTCTTAGCAGTTTCCCATGCCCTCCTGGATAAGCTTCCCCTGTAGAATTTTAGTCTATTAGATCCTACCTGACCCTCCTCTGAGCCCTTTGAATCTACTTTTCCCTAATTGGAAGGAGGGTGGGGTAGTGCATCTCAAGCTCTGCCTGACTTTCTTATCTTTCATTAAAAGCCCTAGGAGAGGATGGTCACCCAATGTTTGCATCATCTCTAGCCTAGCAAGCAGTTTCTTCTTGTTAGTAATCATTGGATTCAGAACAGAATCTCCCCGTGTTGCTTCTACTTTGAAGACTGAAATGATCACTAAGGTGAGTCAGAAAGTTATTAGTCACCCTGCTTTCAGGAGAGATAGCTCAGCGCCGTCTCTGGATAACTGAAGTCTTCCATCACCACCTGGGCCAAGCTTGGTCTGGGGCTGACTGCACCCTCTGTTAGGGTTTCCATGCGTCCTGCTATCTCTGGCCTCTCTTTGTAACCAGCATGCTTTGGTCTAGTCTGCACTGGCTTAGGCCGTGGCACCAGAGGTATGCTTCCCCACTGAGGCTCCTGGTATGGTGGTGAAGGTGATGGAGAACACATCTGGGAGGTGGGCAGACCTTCCCTGAGCTAGATGGAAATGGTCCTGGAGCAACCCCTCACTCTCCTGTCCTCACAGAAAGGAGGTGACTGTGGAAACCATGGACCTCAGGCCAAGGCCCCTTCCTACTGTCCCAGCCTCTTTGTCCATGACTCCCCTGCCTGTAGTTTGGGGTCCAGCTCAGCAGGCCGCCTTGCTGGTCCTCACACAGGAGACTTTTGTCTGCCTTCTCCTTGCCTTTGCCTTGGTGTCCCCCCCAGCCTAGATGCCCTATCTCTTACCTTTGACTCTTATGACTCCTTCTTTCCCTCGGGGCTCTTTTCATCACCCCCTTCTCCTGGAGTCCTGATCCTGATGGTAATGTCCTTCCTCCAGAACCTCCTTTCTTTTGCCTGGGTTCAGTCCTTGTTTCTGTACACATTGCTTCTCCCAGTAGAATTTAATGTCCCTCAGGTAGGGATTGTTTGTCTCTCTTCATATCTCCAGCATGTAGATCAGTACCTAGTCCCAGGTGGGCACTTAATAAATGCTGATTGATTGACTGATTGGGTTGGAAAAGTGGACTCTGTCCATTAGAGGAGAGAGGAAAACATCCCTGAGGGAAGGCTGGTTTTGGGGGGAGGGAGCAAGATGTTCAACTACTCTTACAATTTCCCTTTTCTTTGCTCCCTATTCCTCCCCCCTCCTTATGTAATTGTTTTCATTCTGAGCTCATTTGGCCATCTGGCCACTGGTCCCCTTGGGCCTGTTTATACCGGTCTTAGCCTCTCTCAGTGAAGCCTCTGATAGCATGAACTGTTCTGGCTGCCATATTACTCTGTTGATGCATTTTGACCATGTACTGATCCACAAGAATCCCTAGGAGTTTCTCACAGGAACTGTTGTATATTCATGCTTCCCCAATGAGCCATGTGAAGCTCATTTTTTGAACTCAAGTATAGGCTTTTCTAATTATCCTCACTAAATTTGACCTCATAGAATTTAACCCATTGTTTGTTGAAATCTTTTAGGATCTTTCTGGTGTGTTTGCTATACCTCCCTCAATGTACACCAGCTGAGTATTTAAAGTGCATTCTTGCTACACATACCTCAACATAAAATGGTAAAAATGTTGAGTAGCACGTGACCAAGAGCACATTCTTTGAATATTCTCCTAGAACCTTCAACCAGCCAATCAGTAAGCATTTATTTAGCTCATACTCTGGCCCCGGCACTGTGTTAAGTACTGGCAACACAAAGACAAAAGGAAAATAATGCCTGCCCTCCAGGAGCTTACATTCATCCTTAAGAGAAAACCTTCCCTTTAAACAAACAGACCCACTAATGAGTACTTTGGGATTCTAGGCATTGGAACATTTTAAAAATATACCTAACCAAACAGCTCATTGGTAGACTAACAATCCTGGAACAGGCTTGAGTAGATGCAATCAGTTGAACAGGTGGTGTTGGCATTTGCCCAGATAGGAGGGAAGGCTAGCGCTTCCTCAAGTCCAATGGGGAGGAGACATGTTATGGTAAAGGGAAGGAAGGTGGTTGAGTTCAAAGGGAGCCTATGGCAGCAGCCCAGTTTTCAGTGGAGTAGAAGCAAACTATGTGCTCAGGGCATGTTGCAGTGGGAATTTGGGCTCCTGGGTGGTGAAAGGAGGTTGGGAAAGATGCTGTGGAGCATGTGATCTGGAAGCCAAGGATGCCACTGTGGGATACCAGGAGCAGTGAAAGGCGGCAGCCCACCAAGGCAGAACCCAGTCTTACAGTTCCTTAAAGAACTTATGGCGGCCAAGGCCGTGCAGGAGTGTGACTTCTTGTGTGCATCTGACATGGTAGAAGGGTGGGGGGATGGGGGAGTCTAGGGTGCTGATGAGGACTGTGCCTTGTTTTGCCTCCCGCAGCCCAGCTTCTCAAGACTGCCTTTTCCCAGACCGGGGCTCGATGAAGGAATGACTTCCAGGCTGCTCCCAGCCAGCCTCCAGGTGAGTTAAGTTGTCCTCAGGTGCAGCACCAGCTCATTTCCCTTCTCTTATCCATATCCTATCTACAGGTCTAGGTCTCAGAGATTCTCCCTTAGCGTATTTTGGCTATTCTGATCGATGGGATGTACAGTCCATGAACTCTCAGACTCGTGACGCCATCTTGTGCCTGCAAAGCTGACTTTTTGAACCCATGCGTAATACTTTACATTTAGCACTATTTCATCATCTTAGATTCCGCCCAGGGCTCTAGCCTGTCAAACTGGTTTTGAATCTTGGTTCTGAAATCCAGTGTTCTGGCTGTGGCACAAGTGTGATTTTCATAAGACTCACTTTGGGAGGTGATTGGTAGGTATGAATTTGACCAATAAAGTGAAATTGTCTCTATGATACTGAGGCTAATACAAAGTGAGGTCTTGAAGTGCTCTTTGTAATCACTGCTTCCCTTTGTATGTATTCACTAGCCCTCTCGGGAATGATCCATTAGAAAAGCCTCCTGGATTGAAGTCAAGCTAATTAACGCATGGCTTGCGGACTGTTTTTATTCCTTTTGGGGGGGGTAGGGGAATAGAGGGAGCAAACTGGAACATTTTGCTCCTCTATTCCTATAATTCTTCCTCCTTAATTTTTCTTTCTTGATGTCTCTTGCTTTTTACATCATCATAGTTTTCCCCAGGAACCCTCTCCCCTATCCTCACACAGAGGCATCCCGTATAATACATATTTTTTAAGGACCAAAAAATGAAAAAGAAAAGACGAGGATCAAATCAGCCCACCTGATCACTATGTTGAAGAAATCTAAAAACGTGCCATGTGTAACACCTGCGGCCCTCCTGTCTCCTCATCTCTCCTCATTTAAGTCATGCTTATCTTTGTAATTTTGTTATATTCACTTTTAATTTGTGTGTGTGTGTGTGTGTGCAGTTGTTTGTTCGGTTTACATTGTCATAATGATTTTGTATGTTGTCTCCTTGGCTCTGCTGATTTTACTCCACCTCAGTTCATGTCAATCTTCCCACACTTCTCTGTATTCATCATAGTGAAAAGGTCTAGAGGTTTTGGGGTGCTCTGAGGTGCACAGAGGCACCCCAAGATCGTGGCGCCAAGCCCTGCCTGAAAGAATTCAACTCAAATCTTCTTCCAGCCAGAGAAAAAGTTTATTAGAGATAAAACATATAGGCCAGACTCCCAAAGAACCCGAACATTAGTAACACCCATAGGGACGAGTGGGTGTGAGAAATTCTCAGCATCTGAATAGGGGCCAGGGTGGATCTTTTATACACTCACTTTGGGTAACTTTGGGTGGCCAGAGGAAGGGGGCGGGTGGTTGGGAAAAGGGTCTAGGTGAGAATTCCGTTTGGAAGGTCTGAGAGATTGAATAAACAATGGGAATAGATAATGAAGGGAGCTGGAAGGAGGAAGTTTGAAGGGCATATGAATAAGATCCAAAGGTGGGCCAGGGCTTTCAAAGGGAGAGAAGGGGAGTAGAAAAGGAACCTAAAAGTTTAAGGGTGTTCCTAGATAAACGGGAGCCACATTCTTTTTAGGGCTAGGGGCAAAGGTGCATCTGAATAAGATCAAAAGGCCGGGCTAAGGCTTTGGAAGGGAGATAAGGGGAGTCTATAAGGAATCTAAAAGTTTAAGGGTGTTCTTCATAGACAAACCGAGCCAGATTCTTTTTAGGGCTAGGGAGGAAGGTGCATCTGAATAAGATCAAAGGTAAGGCTAAAGTTTTCAAAGGGAAATAAGGAGCTGGGGTCTGCAGAGCCAGATTCCCTTTGGGGCAAGGGTTGAAGATCTTGACTTGGGCCGAAACCCATCAACAGGAGCCATTTCTTACGGAAGAGTAGTATTCCGTGACATTCATGTACCACAATTTGTTTGGCCATCCCTCGATCTCTAGGCATCTATTTTGTTTCCAGTTCTTTGCCATCTCAGAAAGTGCTACTAAAAATATTTTGGATTGTATATCAGTGGCTTCCTTGGGCCATCAGCTCAGTCGGGATAGCTTGGGTTCAAAGGGTTTGGACATTTTACTCACTTTATTTGCATCATTCCAAATTGCTTTCCACAATGGTTGTACCACTTCACAGTTCCACCAACAATGTATTAGTGAGCCTCTCTTCCCACAACCCTCCAGCATTTCTTGTTGTGCTTGCCAATTTGCAGGGTGTGATGGGAACCCTCAGCGTTGTTTTGATTTGTGTTTGTCTTATTATTAATGACTTAAAGTCTTCTCCCTTTTTAAAAAAATACCTCTTTTATTTTCCTTTTTGGAGGCAGCATTTTATCTCCCCCTGCACCCCACCCACTCACCCACGCTTGGCCTCAACTTTTCTCAGTCTTTGAAAGATCTGTGACGGGGCTCAGCCGTCCCATCAGTGCCCAAGGATGGAATTCATCCTCGGGGGCAACTGGCTGCTCTTAGTGTCTCTCTGCTTGTCTTGGGCATCTCTTGCCCATTAGTTCTCCTGTATCACTAGTGCCAAGGTTATTCTCCCTGTAGAAGAACAGATGGACTTGTCATTGTTCTGGATCCTTAGCAGCAGGTCACACTTCCTCTTGGACCAGACCCCTCGAGTGGTCCCTTGCTTCTGGCACCAGCCCCAGTTCATTAGCATGGCTAACATTGTTCTGCAGTGTCTTGCCACACTCTTATTATATTCATCCTTCATCCCGTGCCCCGCTCTGTACGTGCCTTTCTTTAGTTTCAGTTGGTTTATGAATTCCTTTCCCATCAACGTCTCTTTCTCCGTACCATTTCTGCTAGTCTTTCTCAAGCCATCAAACATTTTTCAGTGCTTACTATGTGCCAAGTACCGTGCTAAGTGCTGGGGTTATAAATACCAGGAAAAACAAAGTCTCCGCCCTTGACGAAGTCAGCTCATGTAAGGGGGTTTGAAAACTGGGGTGGGATGGGGGAAGTCTGGGGCAGTGGAAAGGTCAGGATAGTGAAGCATGGCCGTTTGGGGTCCTCAGCATTGCCTGGCACATCATGGTAAGTGCTTTAGAAGTATGGCTGACTTCTTCCTCATTGGGATCGCTTCCTCTAGTAGCTTCAGAGTTTCATTCCTGACTTCCTGGTCTCCAATTGGCTGATTTCCCCTTCAGAATTTTAGACCTGGGGATCCTGCTTAGCCTTTCTGTGAATGCTTTGAAGTCTGCTTTCCCCTCCAGTCAATGGGGAATAACAGACTGATTAGCTTTCCTCTCTTCTATCCAAGACTCCGGGAGGGAGTGATTATTTCCACCCTGCTGCTCACCATCCCCCCCCCAGCCCCGCCATGTTCCCACCGTTTCCACCTTAACAGCCAGTTCCAGAACCTGTTAGTAAGAATCAGATCCAAGACGGGATTTCCTTTTGTTGAGTCTTCACCCAATGCTTCCTCCCTTTGTTTCTTGAATTTCCTCACATGAGTTTACTTTCTTTTTGCATTTTTATTCACATCTTTTGTTTCCACATTGTCGGAATGTTCTAATATGCAGTGATCTGCCTCCGTTCTGTGTCCTTTGAGTAAGGTAAACCCTCCCAGCGACTCTGAGAGATTTCTGCCCTTCAGGTCCCAGCGATGCTCGTGAAGTCCATCTTGACTCTTTCTGGGAGGACTGCACTAGGGCACTAGCTTGTGGACTGCAGAGGCCGTGGGTTTTCCTCTTGCCTCCTTCCCTGGATTTGATCTCCTGAAGGGTTCTGGATGTCTTCAGTGCTGCTGTTCCTCCTCTCTCTCATCCTTTCTAAGTTAGGGCTCCCTTGGGTTTGTATGCCTTTGTAGAGATGCGTCTCTGGCCGGGAGTCTGGCATCTTCAATGTTGGAAGCCATCATCCAGAAATCTAGGTCTCATCTTCAGACACCATCTACTTCATCAGCTGGACACTTTCCAAACTAATTTTTGTCTTCTCTCTCCTTTGCTCTCAATGGGCAGGAGTGAGGAAACAGCACCTGTCTCCTCAGGTTCTTTCTAGTGACTTTGCCATCTTCTGCAGTCATGGGTAGGTTCCTTCTGGTAGGAAGGAATATCTTTGGTGCAAAAATGGAGAGCTGTCATCCCCTCATACAAGTCTTAGGACGTTATGATTTCTTTGACGGAAAGACAACAGACCTCAATATTTTCATTAGGATGAAAAATAACTACTTGGCTCTCACTGTGCAAAGTGATGTGGACTTCCATTTCCTTTTCCCCACTACTCTTCTCTTTCTCTGAGATTAATGCAATTTGATAGCCCCGCTATATTTTCTTTCTTTTCAACTGAGATAATATCTGTACAAAACCTCGCAAAATGCTTGGCACATAGTAGGTGCTTAATAAATATTATTCCCCTTTTCTCTGGTTACCTCCAGCTTACTCTGTGTTAGTTACAAGAATGAACCCTAAAATCTGAAATAGTGGGGGCAGTTAGGTGGTGCAGTGGATAGAGCGCTGGCTCTGGATTCAGGAGGACCTGAGTTCAAATCCAGTCTCAGACCAGACAGTTGATACTTACTAACTGTGTTACCCTGGGCAAGTCACTTAACCCCCAATTGCCTCACCTGAAAAAAAAATCTGAAATAGTTTTAGGAAGTTATCAGGTCATTTGGTAGAGGAGAGTGACCCAGAAAGAGAGTGGGTCATCTCTCATCTAGACTGCGGGAGGTTTCTGTCATGTATGAGATTTAGACAAGGGTCTCCACAGACAAACTGTGAGTGTGCACTTAAGCAGCTTTGCAGAGAGAGAAACTTCAAAGCAAGGTAGATTCAGATGGCTATCAGTAAATAGAAACATTCAGTAAAATCTGGGTGAAACCAAAATGCAAAGGGAACCCAAAACACAAGCTTGAGTATGCCTAAAATAAGACCTGGGTGAGAGGACCCCAGACATAAATATTTTGGGTGCGTCCAGTACCTGTGGAACCCAGAACTCCTTTTAGCCATCTCTGGCATTCCTGGAGAGTTAATGAGGTCAGAGCGACATACAGAGTTCAAACACTCTCTTAGTTACAAAAAGTTAGGTTTAAACGGTATAATAAGTTTCCCAAATAATACCATAAAGCATTTTCAATATATACATACATATATTTATATATACACACATATATGTATGTGTGTATATGTGTGTGTATATAATACATATATATGTATATATATACACACATATGTATTTCACAGTTCTTTCGCATGTTTAGATTAAGCTCCTTGAGATCAAAGACCCAGAGTTCCACAGTGCTGAGCACATAGCGGGCACTTAATAAATGCGTGTTTACTTGATTTTCAAATGAACCTCTAGTTTTACTAACCATCTCATTTATCATTTGTGTTTACTCTGTTTTTCATTCTTTCCCTATCTCTTCTGTTACCTTCTTCTTTTCTTTCTCCTTGAACTCTCAAATCCTTACCTCTAAATTCACCTTCATAATTTCCTTTTTGTTCATGTCCTTCTCTCCTCTCTTGTTCCTTCTCCCACAGCCTTCTCTGCCGGAAGTCAATAGTCTAGAAGGAGGCAAAACCCATAGTGTTTGGGAACTCCTGTCAGACAACCCCTGGGCCTCCAGTGGATATTGGGAGAGATGGTCCAGGTTCTTTTCCCTGGTGGAAGATGATGTGTCTAGGCCTGCATTCTGAGATAGCTGCCCGGGCCCAAGCGTTGATCGGAGCTGTGTTTGATGTTTCAGCACCCGGTGACATTCAGGGATGGGTCTGTGGACTTCACCTGGGAGGAGTGGAGGCACCTGAGCCTGGCCTAGAGGGACCTGTACAGAGACGTGATGCTGGAGAACTATGAGAACCTGGTGTCTGTGGGTAAGGACGGCCGCCCTGTGACTCCCCCTCTGACGACTGGGATGTCTTTGCAGCCTCCCATCGTACCATCTGGGGATCTAAAGAGCGTCTGCATTTTTTACTTAGTTTATAGGAATGTTCAAGAATACCTCTGAGGGAGGGGAAGGGGAGGAGAGAGGACCCACAATCCATTACCGCCCGTGGATTAGATATTTCAGTTCCCTGAACCCAACTGAAAGCTCTTTGCTTTGTACAAGGGGAAATCCTGTGGAGTTTTTTCATGCTGGCCTTGGGGCTGCAACCTCCCTCCCCCTTTTTCTCAAGTCAAAGATTCTTGATAAATTCTCAGCACAGATAGCTAAACACATGACAAGACCTGATTTCCTTTAAATGCCCGAGTCCGGTGGGGAACCTGCTCTCACACTGGGACAGGATAAAACACAGGCTGTCCCTTAAACGTTCTTCCTGCCATCTTCTCAACCTGGTTCCGTATCTTCTTTTCCTTGAAGGAAGACGATGTGTCTGGGCCTGCATCCCAAGGTGGCTGCCTGGGACTGAGTCTAAGTGTTTCCCCTTTCCACCCCCAGGAGCAGGGTTTCCAGTTGCCAAACCCAATGTGATCTCTCAGTTGGAGAGAGGAAAAGCACTACGTAGGCCCATGGCAGAAGTGCCAAGAAACACCTGCCCAGGTGAGTGAGCGGCAAGCAGCTAGTCGCTCGGGTGGCTGCACCTCTGATATCAGAGAGCAAGTTCACCTTGAAACCCTGAGGCATTGGGAGAAGCTGGGGCTGTAGCTGAGCAAATCACTTTACTGATTTCTGTATCTCCCTCATGGAAATGTTCAGAAGGTCAGGTGTGTATCTAACTCTCTGTGCCCAGATTTCCTCTCCTCTTTCACAAACCCCAGGAGGGTGTGGTTACTTTCCTCCAAGCACCCCACTGTTTCCAGGCCCCAATCAGTTTCCTGGGGAGGGAGAATCCAGTCCTAAATAGAATCTCCCCTCTTTCCTTGTATCCCCTTTTTAGGGATAGAAAGTCAAGCCGTAATCAGCTTCTAATTGACATCACCCATCACTAATGCATGCTGGGTGCCTCTGTGCCAGGCTTCTGACCTGTTTAAGACTGAGGAGCATTTATGCAGCCCTTTAAGGTTTGCCATGTACCTTTCTCTCATTTGAAAAAGATGGAGGGAAGTTAAGGTGTTTGTACACAGAATTAGACCGAGTTCCCCACGTGGGGCAAGTGTGTCTCCAAGCGAGCATGGGGCTGGAAGAGTGTCAGAGTTACCAAGCTATGTAGTAGGCAAGGATAGCCCTCCAGCTGCAGGTGGAGGGAGCAGCTGCTGATGAACAAAAGAGGAACACGGTAACCTGTGCTGGTCCATACGAAGTCACAACTGGCAGGGAATGGCCAGGGATACCTGTGCCCGTCGGAGCATTTCATACTGGAATGCAAAGAATCAAAGAATCAATGTTTGAAAATTACTATGTGACGTTTGTCATCAATATGCAGATGGTAGCATTCGGTCAAGGATGGTATTTGGGTCTTACCAGAGAAGGAGAAATAATGAAAGGAAACCATGTGAAGAGCCACAGGCCAGCAGCATGCTTCCTCCCAAACCACTGGAGGTGGCTGTGTACACAGAACCATCCCTTCATGGTCTCACAGAAGTCTCCTGATCTGCACAGGGTGTGCTCACCAATGCCGCCATGTCTGTTAAGTGATGGTGGCAGATCCATGAGTCCAAATGAACTGATGCAGCCAGGAAAAGACAAGGCCAAGCACTGTCTACTGGATGCTTACCTCTGTATGCAACTGAATTCTTCATGGTGGTCTTTCATCCAAATGGCTAATTTTAGAAAAAAACCAGCAAATGTGCCTATACCCCCCCCCCTTCTCTTTTTAAAAAATTTTTATTTTTTCTCAGTTACATGAGGAAAAAACAATTTTTAACATTCTTTTTAAAATTTTGAGTTCCAGATTCTTACCTCCCTCCCCTCCCCCTTCCTCAGATAGTAAGTAATCTGCTATAAGTTATACAGATGCAATCATATAAAACATTTCTGTATTAATCATTTTGTAGAAGATAACTCAGACAGAGGTATGAATATACACGAATATACCTTCTTAATATACAGTGCTCCCCTTCACTCCCCTTTACTTCTGTTGTTTTTTTCATATATTACAATTTTTTTCAGACATTCAGCAGTCAAAGGATATCTACCTTATTTATTTCCAGTGTGTGGTTACCAGTGGTAGTGCTGCTATGAATATTCTGTTATGTTGAGGACCTTGTTTGAGTCATTGAGCTCATTGGGATATATGGCTCCACAATCAGATCTCTTAATCCAAGGAGAATCAACAGTTTACTGAGTTTTCTTGTGGAATTCCAAAGTATTTTCCAGATTAGTTGGACCAGTTTATACCTTTGCCAAAAATCCATTGGTGTGGCTGTGTTCCCAGAGTCTCTTTAACATATACCAAATAGAAAAGCAAAGGATTTGTGAGCTGAATGGAAATACAGAACTTGAAATCTTGAAAATTAGAAGAGAAATTGATGAAGTACAAACCAAAAAGACTATAGAAATGGTCAAATTAAAAGCTAGTTCTCTGAAAAAAATGACAAAAATGATAAACCGTTAGCCAACCTGATTTTTTTAAAAGAGGAGAAAAAAACCAAATCAACAAATTGACCAAAGTGAAATCACAACAAAACCAGAATAAAAAGATTTGTCAGACTCTACCATGCACAATTATATGCCAAAAAATCTGAGAACACATGAGAAATATTACCTTCAGTAATATAAAATACCCAAACTAATGGGATGCCAGATATAATCTTACATAATTAGTCTTAGAAAAGGAAATAGTACTCAGAATAAGAAATAGCTGTAATGGACCCACCAAAGGGAAAAAACCTCCTTGTCCTGATGGATTCCCAGGAGAGTTCAATCAAACTTTGAAAATGTAAATTCTTCTCAAGAGCTGAGATAGAAAGAACTCTGTCACACTCCTTTTATGAGACAAATAGAATTCTCACGCCAAAGTCAGGGAAGGATTATGCAAATAAGAGAACTAATGACCAATATCATGAATGACTACCAATTCTAAATTTTGAAACAAAATACTGTAAAACAACCTGCATCAAATTTATCCAAGAAATCATTCATTATGACTAAGTTGGATTTATACCATGGATGATTTATCATTAAGGATGCAGTCAGCCTAATGAATTATATTAAAAATAAAGACATCCAAAACTGATTATTATCAATAGCTACCAAATAATATTATTAATAGCTAGCATTTATATATTACTTTAAGGTTTGTGAAGCGCTTTGAAAATATCTCATTGCATCCTTATAAAAACCCTGGGAAAGTGTTATTCTCATCCTTATTTTACAGATGAAGAAACTGAGTGGAAAAAGTTAAGTGACCCAGGGTTCCACAGCTAGTAAGTACTGAATTTGAGCTCAGGTTGTCTTTCTTCAGGTCTGACTGCATTGCCTCAGACCTGTCTTTGACAGAGTGCAGCACTCATTTATGCTAAATCTCTAACAAAGTATAGGCATAAGTGGGATCTTTATTTCATATAATAAATAATAAAAAAGAATTAAAAGTATATTTCTGAATCCTAAAGCAAACATGCAGTGGGGATACTCTAAAAGCTTTCACAATACACAATAAAGCAAGGATGCCCATTCTCATTATTATTTACAAAGTTCTAGAACTGTTAGCACCAACAGTAAAACTAACAATGTTTTTTGAGGGTTAGGACCTTTCTTTTTTCTTTTTTTAATTTAATATTTTTTTCCCTGAATTACATTAAAAATAATTTTTAACATTCATTTTAAAAAACTTTTGAATTCCAAATTTTCTTCCTTCCTCTCTTCGTCTCCTCCCCTCCTCATTGAGAAGGCAAGTGATTTGATATAGGTTATACATGTGCAGTCATGCAGAACATTTCCACGTTAGTCATGTTGTGAAAGAAAACACAGACTAAAAAGAAAAAGAAAGTAAAGAAAAAGTATGCTTCGATCTGCACTCAGACACCATCAGTTCTTTCTCTGGGGATGGATAGCATTTTTCATCAGAAGTCCTTCAGAGTTGTCTTGAATCATTGTATTGCTGAGAATAGCTATGTCATTCATAGTTGATCATCATAGAATACTGCCATTACTGTATGCAGTGGTCTCCTGGTTCTGCTCATTTCACTTTGCATCAGTTCATATAAGCCCAGGTTTTTCTGACAGCATCCTGCTTGTCCTTTCTTACAGCACAGTAGTATACCGTCACAATCATACAGCAATTTGTTCAGCCATTCCCCAATTGATGGACATCTCCTCATTTTCCAATTCTTTGCCACCACTAAAAGAGCTGCCATAAATATTTTTGTATATATAGGTCCTTTTCCCTTTTGTTTTTTATCTCTTTGGAATGTAGACCTAGTAGTGGTATGGCTTGGTCAAAGAGTATGCATAATTTTATAAAAACCAACAGTTTTTAAAAATAATTTTCATAGATATCTTTTCATGGTAACTAAATTTTCCCTGTATCCCTCTCTCTCCTCCCAGAGCCATGCTATGTAACAAAGTTTTTTTTAAAGAAAAAAAAAAACAGCAAAACTGATTAATATCTAAAAAATAAAATCCCAACCCTGTATGTAATATTCCTGGTGGATCCCCCCCCACCCGACTCTGTTGCTCATTTTTGGGCCTATGCTTTTCTGTAATTTTACAATAATCACAGTAGCTTGTTTTGTGCTTATTCTGTCCCTTTACATTGTTGTGGGTGTGTATATTTTCATGGCTCTGATTACTTCACTCTGCATCAATTCATGTAAGTCTTTTCCACATTTTTCCAAATAAAATTTTTTTAAAGATTTGAAAAAAAAAATCCATAAAATCGATCAATATATTGAAAAAACCTGACAGTTGATGAAATGCCTCACACCCATGAACTCCCAACATCTGCAAAGGAATAGAGGAGGCTATATTCTCATATCTTTCCTTTGGGCCCATCCTTATTCTTTGTCATTTCACAAAACTCATTTTTAATTTTTTTGTGGTGATTCTTCCATTGAGATGGTTGTTTTAGTCATTGTATATATTGGTTTCCTGGTTCTCCTTACTTCACTTTATACCACTTCATAAAAGTCTTTGCATTCATCTCTGTATTCATCGTATTTGTGGTAGCACAATAGCACAATAATTAGAATTACACAATAGTTCCATTTCACAATAAGCACAATAATTCCATTACATTCATATTTGACAGGCTTGTTGAGTCATTCCTCCATCAATGGATGTCTATTTTATTTCCAGTTCTTTGCTGTTACCAAAAAAAAATGCCACTATAAATAATATGTTGTACTTGGGACCTTTTTATATGTGACCTTGAGGATTTATGTCCACTAATATAGTCTTGGTGAAAGGTTATAAATGTTTTAGTCACTTAGTTTGCTTATCTCCAAATGGCTTTCCAAAATGATTGCAACAATTCGCAACTCCTCCAGAATGGACAGTTCCCATCTTTTGTGATCTTTGTCAATTTGCAGGGTGCAAAGTGAAACTTAAGAGTTGTTTCAGTTTGCATTTCTCTCAGTGATTTGGAACATTCTTTCGTTACATTTTTAAGTAATTCTTTTGAGAATTTCTTGTTCTCAAAAGACTGTCATATATTATTGATATCTTTTTTCAAAATCATAGATATTTATGATATCCTATGATATTCTCATATCCCTTTACCACTTTTTGTGGGGGGTTGGAATGGATTTTGGTCTTACAGATCTGCATTAGTTGTCTCATCTTAGCTACCAAAGAAATCTCTTCATAATTTTTGTCTTTTTTTTTTTTCACCAAACAGGTATCTTTACTACTTCTTGTTTTTTAAGTCTTCAGAAATGGAGAGATTTACTTCATCAGTTATTTTTCCATGATAGTTCTATTTATTTACCCTTCTTGTATTTCTGTGATTTGGGATATTTGCAATTCCCGCAATCTGTTCACTTCAGGTTTTTTCTTCTTGTTGTTTTTAATAGGAATGTTTCAGATACTCGTTTATTGAACATAGATCTTTTCATTGATATTTAAGGTCGGGGATGTCATTTTGGGTTGCATCCTGAGCTTCTTTGCTTTTCAGAAGATATTATTCCATTTCCATTAACTGTTTCCTTTCTACTTCACAACCGCATCTGTGCCTTTTGTGCAAAAATGTAAGTCATCAAAATTGTCCATTTTACCTTTTTCTTTTAAATTTTTTTCAGTTATTTTTTTCTCTTTCTTTCTCCAAAACCCTTTCAACAAATTCCTATATTCGCCATGTCCAAAAATGTGTGTCTTGTGAATCTAGAGTCCACTCATCCCTTCTCTGTCAGGAGATGGGGCGACTGCTTCCTCCTCGGTCTTCTGGAATCACGATTACATACCTACGAGTGGTATTACTGGGACCAAGGGTATGTCTGTATAGTTCTTGAACTTCATGGGCAGACTTCCAAATTGTTTTTCAGAATGACTTTGTCAGTTCACAGCTCTTGTAACATTTGTCATTTTCCTTTTCCCTCTACTTTCCTAATCTGATGAATGTGAGCACAACTCTCGGCGCTTGGGAGCATTTTTTTCATATGGCCATTGGTAGCTTGAATTTCTTCCCTTGAGAACTACCTCCTCTACTCATTTTACCCATTGGGGAATAGTTCTTATTCCTATAAATGTAAATCAGTTCATTGAAGTATTTTCTTAAGATGTGATTTTTATATTTAAGTCATATGCATATTTATTTGGAGCTTCTCTTGGTACATGGTATGAGATGTACTATAAATTTCTTCATGCTGTCTGCCTCCTGATTGGGAGATGATGGAATGATGGAGAATTAAGCCATACATTATTGGGGGGGATGCCGAGGGGATTTGTTTTGCTTAACTATGCATGTTTGCTAGAAGGCAGTTTTTTGTTTTTTTACTGCAGGGCAAGGGGGCAGAAGTGGAGAGGGAGACACAGGATAGGGTTTCCAAAAGAGAAAGTTAAAAAGAAGAAACTCATTTGAAGCATTTTTTTAAATGCTAAGAAGAAAACAAGAAAGTCTGGAAAGACTCACAAACAATCAAGATGGCTTTGATAGTTACATGTAGAATTTACATCATATTTAAAACAAAAAGCAAGCTGTACCTAAGAGAGATTTGAAATTTGCTGTAGAATCCTCTTTTTCTGTTCTAGGTATACCCATTTCACTAATTTGGTATTTACATTCACAATAAAAAACAACAGAGGGAAATCCCTTCCCTCCTCCCTTAACTTCTGGAGTTCTGAATGTAAATAAGTTGATGTTCAATAAATGCTTGAAGCCTTAAAGTGTAAAAGAGAACTCTGACTTTGGGGACACCCTGTCCATGTTGTGTGGATCACTTCTTCCCCGCTCTTCATATCGATTCTCCAGCCCATTTTTTAACATTTTTAAAACATTTAAAACGTTTAGACATTTTTAAACATTTGACATTTAAATACTTTTAAACATCTCTGCTCTTCCTTCTGGATTCCTTGGAATGATCCTTTCAGCTCCCACTGTCCCTCACTATTCATGGACAATTCTGTTCATGGGCGTGGGGCATTTCATCAGCTGTCAGGTTTTTTCAATATATTGATCAATTCTATGGATTTTTTTTCAAATCTTTAAAAAAAATTTATTTGGAAAAATGTGGAAAAGACTTAACATGAATTGATGCAGAGTGAAGTAATCAGAGCCATAAAAATATACACAATTACAACAATGTAAATGGACAGAATAAGCACAAAACAATCAACTGTGAATATTGTAAAATTACAGAAAAGCATAGGACCAAAAATGAGCAACAGAGTCGGGTGGGGGGATCCACCAAGAATATTACATATAGGGTTGGGATTTTATTTTTTAGCTATTAATCAGTTTTGCTGATTTTTTTAATAGTATTCTTCTACCTAGTGCAAGTGAATGTCTTGTTAAAAGGAAAAATCTTTGTTCAGGCCTCGCCCTGAATTAATAAGGCGAAATCAGTAACATTAAGACAAAAAGAGTTTTATTGTAGAACACCAAGGCGGCAGTGTTGGAGTACAGCCCAGTCTGATTTCAGACTTTGAGCTGATTTTATAGACAGCAGTAAAAAACTTCTATATGCGGGGAAGACAATCCTGATTGATGCATGTTTCCATGTGGAGATGAAAGGGCTGCTACAGCTCTTCCCTAAGTATTTTGATTGGTACATGTAATTATGAAGAGATGGAAGTAGTGAGCATACACACTTCCATCTCATGCAAGCTATTTGCCATGTACTCAGAGTTTTAAAAAATGGAATCAGAATGACTCAGGGCAAGTGACTGATTTTAAACAGGCATCTTCTCGATGGAATAATATATAGAATTTAGTATGCAGCAAAGAGAAAGACTTAACACATATTTCTTTCTTTCAGATTCACTTAGACAGGAAATTACGTATGAAACAAGGGACTCCACTCTGATGCCTGGCATTTGCCTGAAAACATTGGCCAATGGAAGACTACTGAAGGATAACCCCTTCTATTCCAAGTTTAGAAAATTCAGTGAACAGGAAATTGGGTTAGAGAAACAAGAAGGCAACCAGGAGAGACACTCCCAACAAGTGTTAGTCACTCACCAAAATGCATTTGAGAAGGAGAAGGTCACTGAATGTAATACATTTGTGAGTCATGGTAGTCTGACTCCAGTCTTTTTTCCACATTGGAAAGCTTCCCCCAAGAAACATTTACATAAATATAAAACCTATGGAAAGCATTTAAGACACTTTTTGGACAGAATTCATTGTAATCCAATCTCATGGAAGAAGCTTTGTAAATAAAACAAATGCACAAAACCCTTCAGTTTTCATTCAGACCTTATTAAATATCACAGAATAGATGATGAAAGAAAACTATATGAACATAATGAGTGTGGAAAAGGCTTTGACAAAAAATCTAATCTTTCTGGACATTTGAGAATTCCTGTAGAAAAACCTTATAAATGCAAAGCATTTGGAAAAGCTTTTGGTTATTGGCAAAATTTTAAGGAATTCTGGAAAGCACAAGGAGAAAAACCCTTTAAATGTAATGAATGTGGGAAAGTCTTTAGCCTGAGGGGAATTCTAATTAGGCATCAGACAACTCATACTGGAGAGAAACCCTTTGAATGTACTGAATGTGGGAGAGCTTTCAGTCAGAAACGACACCTTATCAGCCATCAGAGAACTCACACTGGAGAGAAACCTTTCAAATGTGCAGAGGACCCTCTTCAGATATCAGAGCACTCACATTCGAGTTGAGTCCATTAATTGTAGTGTATGTGGGAAAATTTTTAGGAGAGAAGGACATCTGATTAGACATCAGAGAATTCATAGTGATGTCAAGTCCCTTAAATGTAGTGAATGTGGGAAAATTTTCACAGGGAAGGACTACCTAATTAGACATCAGAGAATTCATATGGGACTGAAGCCATTTGAATGTAATGAATGTGGAAAAACTTTCAGTCTGAAGGCACATTTTATTAGATATCAGAGAGCTCGTATGGTAGTGAAACCATTTGAATGTAATGAATGTGGGAAAGCCCTCAGCCGGGAGGAATACCTAATTAGCCATCACAGCATTCATAGTAGAGTGAAGCCTTTTCCTTGCAACAACTGTGGAAGAGCCTTTGGCTTGCAGGGTCAACTTACTAGCCATCAGAGAACCCATAGTGCAGTAAAACCCTTTCCATGCAACGAATGTGGGAAAGCCTTCAGGGAGAAACAAACCCTTATTAGACATCAGAGAAGACACACTGGAGTGAAGCCATTTGAATGTAATGAATGTGGAAAAGCCTTCAGTGTGAAGCATACATTTACTTCACATCTGAGAATTCATACTGGAGCAAGACCATTTAAATGTAATGAATATGGGAAAACCTTTGCTTGGAAGGAAGTCCTTGTTAGCCATCAGCAAATTCATAGTGGAGTGAAGCCTTTTCAGTGCAATGACTGTGGGAAATCCTTTCATCACAAGAGACACCTTGAAAGTCATCAGAGCACTCATACTGAAGTGAAGCTGTTTAAAAGTAGTGATTGTGGGAAAGCCTTCAGCCAGAGTGATCGCCTTATTAGACATCAGACAATTCATTCTGGAGTGAAACCCTTTGAGTGTAGTGAATGTGGGAAAGCCTTCACTCAGAAAAATTACCTTAAAAAACATTAGGGAATTCACAGTGGAGTGAAACCTTTTGAATGTAATAAATGTAGGAAAGCTTTTAGGCTGAAGGCACACCTTAAAATTCATCAGAGAACTCATATACTGGAGTGAAGCCATTTTAATGAATTAATGGGGGAGAAAAAGCATTTCTCTAGCATTAATCATTTCCTGATCTTTTTATAAAGCAACTGAACCTATGATTCTGAGACTTCAGCTAGTAAGCTTGCCTGAGTTTATGCATTTTGTTTCCGTCAATCAATTTTCCTTATTGAGGCCATCCTGATTTGAATGGGGTTTAAGCATCTGCATGATGGTAGACTGTGAGAAATGACATAAGCCAAAGGGCCTTGTGAACCCAAGATTTGTTAGCTGGAAACCATTCTGTTGGACAACTTGGCAGAAGTTGTAGTTCACAGTATGCAGGAGGGAGCATCTAAGTGCTCCCTGCATGTTAGCAAGGAACCAATATCTCCATGATGCCCAGACTATTTAAATTAGACATACCCAACCAGGAACTACAAATGTTAACAAGTTAAAGCATAAGGTATAATGAGAAAATCATTTCTGTGTGTATAGCATGATTGCTGGTATCCATTCTGACCAAGGTATAGATGTAGAGAACAGACTATTTCTGGAGTACTGTTTTGGACAGGAATCACCCTTAGGGAAATCTGACCTCTGGTTCCTCTGTTGGGGACCCTAAGGCATAAGTGTGAGACTTACAGGAGCCAGCTTGTGCATTTTTTTTAGTGTGAGCATGGAATAATACTGAAACTCGCTGTGGGCTTTTTATCATATGTCACTAATGTCTGTGGGAGCCATGCTTAGCGATGATCTCTTGGTACAGAGTCTTAAAATATAGAAGAGGCATAGTAATTCATAAAAGTATATCATCTGAGAGACTCATTGAAATACAACTACTGTCTATCATCTTAACTCAGAAAAGTTTTGATCAACAGAATTGATAATCTAGATGGTATAGGTACAAACCTGTTTTTAGGTAGTGAACTTTTCTGCCTAAAAGACTAGCAGTGGAGAACCCTAGGGAACAGAGGACATGTGTAATAAGCCAGGGACTGACAGTGAGTGAGCTTGGGTGACGTGCAAGATCATTAGGGGGACTCTAATATAAGATTTCTAGCAATTCTGACTATCAGTCCTAGCTTTCTACAGGCCAAGCCATTGGAAAGTTAACATGGAAGACACAGAGCAGGGCCACAAGGCATTGTAGTGCAGTGGGATTCATTCAGGGTTTGTGTTCTGAGGGTCTGGGCTCCAGCCTATATTTGGCTACTTGGTTCTTATGTGACCTTGGATAAGTTGTTTGACCTCTCAGAAATTCAGTTTTGTTATCTGTAAAAATTGAGGGGTTTGGGTTACAGGGCCTTCAAGAGCATCCTAGCTCTGTAATCCTGTGGGTATAAACTTAGCAGCAACACATGGCCTCTCTGTGCTGTACATTCACTCTCTGCATTTCTATATCCTATTATAAAGTCCTCCCTACAACAGCTCATCATGGTGTAGTGTTGAGTCAACATTGCTCAAGGCCAGCAGCACTTAATATTTTGTGTCATGGGCCACTTTGGCAGTCTGGTGAAGCTTATTGACTCCTCAGAACAATATCTTTAAAAACATAAGATACATAGAAATAGAAAGAAAGCCAATTACATTAGAGTACTATCATTAAACCAATTTTTAAAAACAACCCTTGGTTAATAAACCCTGTTTAGGGTTATGCCAGTGGAGCACTACCTATGAAAGGTTCTACCATGGTAGAAAGGCTTTGACAGCAGTCCAACAAACAGCCCTCATCACTTGTCTGAATCCATACTTTTTACCAATTGATGAATTCTTTTGCTTTGGGAATATATAAGCAAAAAAAAAAAAATAGAAAAGGGCTGTCCTGCAGTCCTAGGACAGGGTATGTCAAGAGTCTTACAGGTATTAGAGTATGCATGAATATTAGCCCAGCTATCAATGCTTTCAATATAAAATCTTTGTCTAGTGACTGTAACTATATATAACTAGTGGAACCAGATCATTCTAAACAAAACTAAATAAGTTATTTGTCCATGACAACATATGAAACAAACAAAAAAAAAAAGAAATAACTCTCAGTCCTAAGGCTCCCTCACAATTCTGCCCTGATAGTATTAGAAAAGGGGCCAAGGTGTGCTAAGGTTCCCACAGAGTTGATATCAGATAGAATAACTCACATTCATATAGTCATTTAAGGTTTTGCAAAGAGCTTTACAAATATTGTCTCATTTGATCCTCACAACACTTAATATTAACGTAGATGCTAGAACTCTAAATGTGAGGTCCTTCATCAAGTGAATGTGTAAATGGAGAAACTTGATCAGATCAGTCTTGGCATTCCCACTTGAAGCAGTGGGCATTCATAGGTTTCCTCTGAAGGGTCAAGTAATGGAGATGAAAACAAGAAACACGAAGGCATGATGAGTTTAATCAGTTTGGATTGTACTCAAAATAAATGGGTTTTTTCCCCTTTTGGCTTTACATCTCTAACATTTCCCCAGGTATCTTTCTTCCATCACATAAAGAGACAGCCCTTAAAGAAAAACTTTATTCTATCTTAAATGTCAAAATAAGGATTTCCTGTGAAACTAATCTCCATTGGACACCACTTGCTTTTTCTGGAAAAAAAAAATAAACATACAATAATTCCTACATGTTACTTTTAAAACTCCTGCTTGGGGCAGCTAGTTGGTACAGTGGGTAGAGCACTGGCCCTGGAGTCAGGGGGACCCCAATTCAAATCCAGCCTTAGACACTAGCTGTGTGAGACCCAGGACAAGTCACTTAACCCCAGGTGCCTCCAAAAAAGCCTACCCTCCTACTCGTCAGTGTTTCTGAACTTTCCTCTTTTTTTCTGTGCTTCCACTTGACCTTCATCACTGTTTGGTGCCAAACTATTGTAAGTCTACTTTTGTTACAGCTGAGGTTTGTCTGATGCCCGCTCTACTCACCCCTTCTTCCATCTTTATATGCTTGAATTCTCATATAATGCACTTAGGAGAAGTTGCATGTTCCACCCCATTCCTCTTTTCTGCACTGGTGTGTTCCTTTTTGGCCTCCCTAATCTTTCCACCAAGCCATCCCCATAACCTCCATTTTTTTTAACTTGAAAAACTGGCTCAATACACTTTGAAGACAATAAGGATGATCTGTATTTTTAGTAGGAATTGCTAGGTGTTAGGTGATCCTGATGTAATTCCTTGGTACTTGAAATGCTTCATTCTAGATGCTTTACAGCATTTATGTTTTCTTTGATATGGAACTCTGGGGCTTCTCTTTTTGGGTATCCTTTGAGGAGGTGATTGGTGGATTCTTTGTGTCTATATTGCCTCCTAGTTGTAATAAATATTGGCAGTTTTCATTTATAATTTCTTGAAATACAGATTCCAGGCTTTGTTTAAAAAAAGATTGTTTCAGGTAGTCAATGTGTCAATACTTTTCTATTTTATTTTTTCCAATTGCATGTAAAGAAATTTTAACATTCATTTTTCTAAAAATTTTGAGTTCCAAATTTTTCTCCCTCCTTCTCCTCCCTCCTCCCTAAGGCAATAAGCAATTTGGTATAGGTTATATATGGGCAGTCATGCAAAACATTTCCATATTAGTCATGTTGTGAAAG